TAGAAAACAGTGGAATTAAGTTTAAAGCATCAAACTCTACATAGTTTTGATGTAAAGTGAAATACTAAAAGTGCAAGAGCCTCACCACAGCCCATAAATAACCCTGTGTAAACATGAGCACAATAATGACATTCAGAGCAGCACATACACAATAACAGTCACAGATTTAGCAGCAGCAATTGCCAGGGATGTTCCACAGATATGGCTTTAACATACACAACTTGTTTAATTTTCTGTCAGTGTTGTTTTTAATACCCTCAAAAACATTCATTCTTACTGTGCTCTCCATAGATCTGACCTGTAACTGCTCATTTTAATAACGCGTCACTGTTGGACAATTCTGGCAAAGCGACGGGCGACGAGCAAACAGACCCTCCACCGGAAGTTACACAGTGCAGCTTTAAAATGTCAAAGCACCAGTTTGGGACAAAGGTTCATTTTAAAACCACTCCAACTTTGTCAACAAATTGTCCCAAGTAATCATAAAAGTCTTAAGTGAATTTAGTATCATTCAAAACAACATATAGTCACACAAAAACAATAATATAATAATAAGTTCTGAAGAAATAAATGGCATCTTGGTGCTGAATCTTCTCCACATAGACTTGGTCACAGTGGATAGAGACTAGGGGTGGGCGATATCTCGATATATTTAAAATATCGAGATATGAATTCTGACATAGCTTATATATCGATATCATGCTTATATTCAGTTTTGATTTCGCCACTTCACTTGTTTGTCTTCTCTCTCGTCGCCTCCGCCTCCCTGATTTTGTTCGCTCGTGTCTCCTTCTCTCCTCACTGTTGCCGTGAACGCCGAAAGTTGGTGCCAGTGAAAAGCTTCAAGCACCAAAAACCTTTTCCACCATTTACAGACAAAACCATCAGCAGCACATCCTCATATTCCACCGAGTCCGTCCTTTAGTCTGAAAGAAACTAAACGAGCTGAGCTGCATGAGAAGTGCTGTTTATGCACATGAGCCATGCGCTTAAGTTTAGTTTCTGTAAAATGTAAACACACGTGAGCAAAACTGCATTATAATCTCAAACGGGCTGATGTGGCTCTACCGTCGTTATGTTTTATATATTGTAAAGTTAGCAATGTAAACTTATTTATGCAGAAGATTTTAATGAATAATCTGCTGCAGTGTCACTTGTACAATAGTGTTTTAATCGTTGGGTTTGATCTGCAGTGGATTGTGGGATTAAACCTCAGAGCTCCTGACGCTGGAACATGGAACTGTTAAAATAATGAACATCCTGAGCTTCTTCTGCTGAAGGAGCTCATGGTTCTGGTTCTGGTTCTGGTTCTGGATAACAGAGTTAATGCAAAGATGAGCTTGTGTTGAGTTGTTTTATTTATGAATAAAAAGAAGGAAATATGTTTTATTTCTTTTATTTTACAGTTAAATTATTATTTATGTAATTAGTTGTTGTTTTTTTGTAATCTTAAATGTTCCTATATGAACTGCTGACCTCTTACACTTCAGTAAAAAAAAAAAAAAAAGTGGAATTTGGCAGATTTGTTTTTGCAGTTTTCAGTTTTAGGGGGTTATTTTTGTACAGATATCGAGATATAGCAAAATATATCGAGATATTTTTTGATCCATATCGCCCAGCCCTAATAGAGACTTTAAATTATTAAGACTTTTATTATTATTTACAATGACAATGAAGACACAAGTAGGAGGTGAGGAAACAGCCAGTGTCCAGTGTGAAAACTGAGAGACTGTTTTCCTTTGGATTCACCTCCCAGAGACTCAAAACAGAAGAAACACCAAGTCCTGGAAGCTCTGCTGTGTCTGTGCTCCAGGAGATGTTCTACACTGGACTGTAAGGGTCTGTTTACACGAGAACGCTTGTGGGTAAAAACTCCTAAATATTTCATCAGAAGTGTCTTTCGTTTAGACGGTGACGGCGTTTTTGGGGCTTAAAAACACAAAATGTGAAACCAGCCTCCAGAAAGTAAAAGTTGAATACGTGTTTACGTCACAAACACACAATATCACATCGTGTATCACAGCACCACCTAGCTGCCTGGCATGATACACAATCAAATTCCACACACTTTTGCGTCACCGTATCCACGCAGATTTCCTCCCGAAAACACTCGTTTAAACGCAGGAATAAAAAGTGAAGACGCGATGCCACTTTTGCGTCTTCTGTTCGACCGTCGTCATATAAACGTAACCTAACTGAAGACTTTCATTTAAATTTGAGTCATTATTATTTATTTGAGCATCAGTCAAAATCTTTTAAAGAGAAAGCTGTTATTTCTGTTTTTAAGGTAAGTACATTTATTCCCTTTTCCTTAATATCACGATAGTCACATTTTGAAGTAAAGTTACATTCAAACAGACACAACTCGGAGGATGTTTTTGTAATTCTAGTTTATTGTGAGAGTCAAAGCCCTGTGTGTGCAGAGACGTCACAGGAGAACATCTGTACAAGCCAAAGCTCAGGGTACGTTCTGTTATTTACACAGAAGTACTTCAACTTCTCTTCACACTGATCCAGGCTGGTTTATTTACAACATACAGTATTTAGAACATATTTAGGGATCTTCTAAGGTTAATTTAAACTGACTTTGTGGAGGTAATTTGAAGTGAATGATGCTGTGTCCGAGCTTTATCTGTGCTGTTGTTGTTCATATGTTTTGCATTAAGAGGAACATCAATACAAGGAAAGGTTAAGAAAACAGAGCCTTTATTTGTCCCATAATGAGGAAATTCCAGGAGTAGAATACAAAGTAGTAAAATAAAATGTACACGACAACAAAGGCAGCAGTGGAACATAACAAAGTAGAAGTAGTAAAGTACTGTACTGTATACATTTTAGGTATTTAGGTAGTATAACATTTTCTTAAATCACTCACATTGTCCATTCACATTCACCAACATGTTCTGATCCTTAAATAGACCATTCCACATCCCTGATCACAAGAACAATCTCTAGTTCTAAACTTCGAGGTGGATGAATGTATAAGGAACAGTGTGATTGGTTGAACAGGTTTTCACACTTCAGACTCCGCCCCTGCAGCCGTCTGTTTGTATCAGAAACACCAGGCTGTAATCAGTGAACAGTGCTGTGAGATGTCACCAAGTACCTGGAATTACACTGCCCACTGGAGCAGGACACATCCATTGTTATACATGTTTGACCACAAAACTGCAAATGTACCTTTCACTTAAATGATATAAATGACTAGAACAACAGATAATGCTGTTAAAACACCATATAAGGTTAAGTAGCAAAAAAAAGTGGATTTAATGTTTAGTTCCGCTTTATTTATAGATGTAAATTATTTGACCCTCAACATTTCATATTTCTTTACTACAAAAATAAAACAAGGTATGGGATGAATTTGAATCTAGTCTAACTTCAGTTAAGTTTTTATTTTCACAGACATTATTTTTGGTCATTATACTTACATGATTTCCTTATTTCTGACTATAACTATTTCCCTTTTATCTTTGACCTTTTTATATATTTCAGCATTTTTGTTAGTTGTTTTGTCATTTTTAAACACGCTCACATTGACCCAAAGACTTTTTTTTTTTTCCTTCCTGTTCTCTTAGGGCAGGTCAATCAGATCCAAAAATTAATTTTCAAACTAATTCTCACCAGGCAAGAAAATACATTTTTAGGTCTGATTGACCCGCCCCAAGAGAGCGGGAAGGAAAAAAAAAATCTTCAGGTCAGTGTGACCCCGAGGAGCGTGAGTCATGTGGATTGGGACAGACTCATGTGTTTATTTTGTTTTTACATTTTTTTGTATTTTGATGGAAAGAATCATTAGATCAAAAAAGAGTTACATATGGTGCTCTCTTCAGATCCTCCACAGACACAGAGGAATCTTCCTTCCACACTCCAAACCCTGGAAACAGAGGCTCAGTGAAGGAGGAGCTGAAGGTGTGGAGATGGAGCAGTTTTCCATCAGAGAGAACCTCACAGAAGGACAGAGATCCAGCCTCAGAGTCCAGGAACACAGACACTCGACCTGAGGGACAGTGAGAAGGGGAGGAGAGGGGAGTGTCTGTGTTGTTGTAGCAGAAACTGTAACGTCCATAATAGATCTTCAGACTACAGGACTGATTATTGTTTCCAAACAAACACTCCTTTCTCTTGTCCCGTCTCATTCCTCTGTAACTCACTGCTATATCAACCCTCCCTCTCCACTGCACCTCCCAGTAACAGCGCCCCCTCAGGCCAGTGCAGCTCAGGACCTGACAGTAGTCTGTAAATCTGTCCTCATGATCTGGATACGGCCGCTCCTTTCTCACAAAGGTCACTGTCCGTTTGTCCTCAGACAGTTTGAGTTTTCTGTGAGCTGTGTTTGGATCCAGAGAAAACTCACAGGAATCTGAGGACACAAACACATGACATCACTTCCTGTTCCTGAGAATATGAAAAATTATTTGTTTTATTTTCATTATATTGTGAGATGTAGTAATGCAAATGGATGGAACAGTCAAAACTAAACGAAAAAGAAAAGAAAATAAAGAAATATTTTTGCAACTGAAAGCACTCACGCAGATATTTCCTATATCACTGAAAGGACTTGATACCTGATAAATTTACATAATGTTAATATGTAAAATGAATGAAAATGAAATACAGAGACTCACACTTCCTCAGACCTGGGACCATCCACTGTTCTCCAGCAGGATCCAACCTGAAACACACAAGTCCAGTTTAGACCAGACCAGAGACCAGGATCTGGACCGACCATGGACCAGAGACCCACTGAACCAGGACCCTCACCTGAGAGACTGCAGGGGGCAGTGGGGGTCGTCCCGTAGAGCGGTCAGGAGCTCTGCTGAGGGTCCTGGATGGTTGTAGCTGAGGTCTAACTCTCTCAGGTGGGAGGAGGCGGAGCTCAGAGCTGAGGCCAGAGCAGCCCCGCCCCTCTCTGAGACCAGACATCCAGACAGCCTAAAGACACAGAATTACACTCATGTGGACACAAGGGGGCAGAGTGCATCATGGGAGCGTCTCACCTGAGAGTCTCCAGTCTGCAGGGGGCGCTCTTCAGTCCAGAACACAGCAGCTCCACTCCTGAGTCCTGGAGGTCGTTGTTAGTGAGATCCAGATGTGTGAGACTGGAGGAGCTGAGGACTGAGGCCAGAGGAGCACAGCTGTGAGGAGACAGACCACAGCCACAAAGACTGAGGACAGAGAGGGACATTAGAGACTAGAACCTCCACACAAGAGTTTAAATACAGTCTGGACTCACAGGACTTTGGTGGAGACTCTGACCACCGGCAGCAGATTCAGGAGAGCTGTCTCTGAGGCCTGGTATTTCCTCAGATCAAACTCCTCCAGGTCTGAGTCTGAGGACAGTAAGACGAAGGACAAAGCCGACCACTGAGCAGGAGAATTTAACAAGAGAAGTAGTCCTCCATTCCTGTACATCTGTATCTCCTCCACCAGACTGTGGTCATTCAGTTCGTTCAGACAGTGGAGCAGGTTCAGACTTCTCTCTGCAGACAGACCCTTTTCATTCAACTTCTGTTTGATGTACTTTACTGTCTCCTGATTGGTCTCTTCACTTCCTGTGTGAGTCAGCAGACCCTGCAGCAGCCTCTGATTGGTCGGCAGAGACAGTCCCAGGAGGAAGCGCAGGAACAGGTCCAGGTGTCCGTTTGGACTCTGTAAGGCCTGATCCACAGCAGAGCGGTAGAAGGCCTCAGACTCAGGACTTTCAGATGAGTGTGGTGTCTTCAGGAGGTTTTCTCTGTAGCTGAAGAAAGTCAGATGGACATGAAGAGCAGCCAGAAACTCCTGCACACTCAGATGGATGAAGCAGTAGACCTTGTCCTGGTACAGGCCTGGCTCCTCTCTAAAGATCTGTGTGAACACTCCGGAGTACACTGAGGCCGCTGCAGTGTCCAGCCCACACTCACTCAGGTCACTCTCGTAGAAGATCAGGTTTCCTTTCTGCAGCTGCTCAAAGGCCAGTTTTCCCAGAGACTTCACCATCTCCCTGGTCTCTGGAGTCCAGTGAAGGTCCTCCCCTGATCCCTGGTGATACTTGATGTTCTGGACTTTGGCCTGCACCACCAGGAAGTAGACGTACATCTGTGTGAGAGTCCGGGGCAGCTCTGGTTCCTCTGTTTGTTCCAGAAGTTTCTGTAGAACTGTGGAGAGAATCCAGCAGAAGATCGGGATGTGGCTCATGATGTGGAGGCTGCGGATGCTCTTGATGTGGGAGATGATGACTGTGGCCTGGTCTCTGAACCTCTTCCTGAAGTACTGCTCCTTCTGCGGGTCAATGAACCCTCTGACCTCTGTCACCATGGAAACGCACTCAGCAGGGATCTGACTGGCTGCGGCGGGGCGCGTGGTTATCCAGAGGAGAGCGGAGGGAAGCAGGTTCCCCCTGATGAGGTTCACCAGCAGCACGTGCACTGAGGTGGACTCTGTGGGGTCGGTCAGGACTCGGGTTCGGCTGAAGTCCAGAGGAAGTCTGCACTCGTCCAGACCGTCAAAGATGAAGAGCACCTGGAGCTGTTGGAAGCTGCAGAGATGTTTGGATGAACTGAAGAAGTGGTGCAGCAGCTCCACCAGGCTGAACTGTGTGTCTCTGAGCACATTGAGCTCTCTGAAAGTGAACGGGAACAGCAGCTGGAGGTCCTGGTGGGGCCGGCCTTCAGCCCAGTCCAGACTGAACTTCTGAGTCAACACTGTTTTCCCCACGCCGGCCACGCCCTTCGTCAGCACCGCTCTGATTGGCTCTGGTGAATGTGGGCGGGGTTTAAAGAGCTCTTCACATGTGATGGTCTCTGGAGCGGCCGGTCTCCTGGACGCCGTCTCCATGAGTCTGACCTCATGTTCCTGGTTGACCTCTGAGGCTCCGCCCTCTGTGATGTAGAGCTCTGTGTAGATCTGGGTCAGGGGGGCGGAGTCTCCTGCTTTAGCCACGCCCTCAAACACACGACTGAACCTCTGCTGCAGATGCTTCTTCAATTTATCTCGACAAACTCCAACAGTATTTCCTGAATAAAGACACAAAGAACTGTTAACTCTGGTCCTCCTGAAAACGACTTTACTAGAACAGAGTCACAGAGGAGAGTATTAGCTACTTTACAATGTAAAGTTACATCTCAAAAGTAATATTGCAGTGATGTTACGTCTGGTGTCTGTTCCTCAGGTGGATAAAACACCCTCCTAATGTACGGGTCATAGTACTTTCTGTGATCCTCAAACACCTGTAGACTTTTGTTACTGTGAAGTCAAGTCTGGTGTGGTCTGTTCCTCAGATGGACAGTAACAGAGTTCTTACTGTTCTGCAGGCGCTGGGCCAGCTGCTCCTGGTCCATCCTCCTCAGGAAGTCCAGGGGTGATGTTCAGAACCTCTCTGCTGCTCTGCTCCTCCTCCTCACTCTCAGAGCATTCTGGGTAATCTGAGGCCAGGAGCCTGTGGAGCCTCTGCAGCTGCTCTTTGACAAAAGTCAGGACGTCCTCCTCCAGACGCTGGAACAGAACAATAAGAGAAGAGTTTTAGTCAAAGAGAGCACCTGAGGAGCACCCAGAGAACCCCACACATGCTGCGCTCGTGGGGTACTCACCCTGAATATGGCGTCCAGCTGCTCCTTTGGGCCTGGCTCCCTGTCAAACAATAAACTCATTATTTATTTATTCCAGACTTCATAAATGGTATGTGAGATGTTTATTTTTATACAAGGACAAGATTTCACAGTCTGGCTCTGTGTTTATCTTAATCTTAGCCGTTATCCTTTGTGATCATATCCTGGCCTTGTGCTCCTTATACAAATCTAAACTGGTTTTGTTGATCTTATTTTTGTAACCTGTCTCAGTATAAATGCTACTGTCTCAGTATAAATGCTACTCATTGCATTGTCTCAGACTAGAGACAGACTTGACATGGATTGACATAGGGATATTTAGTTTTTATATCTGTGAACAGTTATAAATAAAGTAATCTTGGAAAATTACAACTCTGTTTATTTTTTATTTTTTTTACATTTATTCTAATTGTTTGTATTTAGAATTTGTGGTGAATTTAGACTTGTCAGGTCTGATGTAGAATGAGTTTAGCCTTAGATGCTGGATGCTGGCCTTGGATGCTGTTGGTATAATATATTAGAAAGATTTATCTTTGGTTAAATGCAGTTGAAGAATTAGAAATCCGTAATATGCTGTAATGCAGTTGTTTCACTCTGTTGATGTGTTCAGAACAACAGATTCTCTAAGACCTCTATAATCTATAGAAGCCTCTGTGATCCTGTGTCAGGCTTGGTATCATTCAGAAGTTGCCGATATGATACATACCTCGATACACAGACCACGATGTGACCCATTCAATATGGTTCAATAAAAAATAAAGGCTAAATCATGGCTGTAACTCTGAAAGTCTTTGTTAAACCCCTTCTTGTGCAACGTTAATATCAAATAAACATTTTAATCATGAAAACGGTGAAAATGTCAAATGTGTCACAAACCAGTTTCCTTCCTCTGAATAAACAACAAAACTGTAGCTCTGTAACAAAATAATTTAGTAAAATTCACCAAAAAATACAGTAGAGAGTTTCTCAAATGCAGTGTTTGCATGTGTGTATTTACATTTACATATTATCTATTCCCTTCCTATAGCTTTCGTTTGTTTGTTTTTAGCAACCCCAAAAGCACCTACACATACATTATATTATACAAGCATTTACATACACATATATTAAACATGGGAGTTATATAATTTTATCAGGACTTTTACAACATGAAAGATGTACACACTGCGCCAAATACTGGAAAAAATATTTTCTTACCTAAACTTAACTTAGTATTAGCAGAATTTGTAGACCATCCTATTCTGTTAGGGGGCGATTTAAATCTGGTCAGTGATGCTTTATTGGACAAGTTGAAGGGCCCCCTCCCATCTGATAGAGCATTGTCTAATGCTTTAAGAGAATTACAAGATTCTCTGGTCTTATATGACATATGGCATGGGGTTCATCCTGACAATCATGAATATACCTATTAGCTTCATGTTCAAAATTCATATTCAAGGACTGATTATATTCTTTTATTATATGCTGATCAGAAAGGTTATAGAATGTAAGATTCATAATCTTATATTATATTGACATGCACTGTTATTGTCTTAATTTCAACACAAAAATGTATAAGCAAAAACAGACAATGGAGATTTAACAACTCCTTATTAAAGGATCAGTCTTTTGTGACACTGATGCAAAATAATACAGGAATATTTAGAAAATAATCTGAACTCTGTAGATTCTGTCCAGATCGTATGTAAGGTGTACAAGGTAACTTGTAGAGGGTGGATTATTAATTACTCATCTGCTACAAAAATTTTAAAATTAAAACATAAGAATGAACTTGGGACAAAACTCAAGCAGCTAGAAATAGAACACATGTCTGACCCTAATAACACTCTGGTAAAACATGTCATGCTGGTGTGTAGAACTGAATATCAAACATTTCTCCATGAAGAGAAGGCCTATGCACTTTTTAAGTTACGAAAGCAATTCTATGAGTCTGGAGATAAAGCAGGCAAAATGCTTCCCCTAAAACTTAAACAAGAGAACCACCAATCAATCTCATCAGTTTATAATAGTGATAAATAATAGTATTGGTAAATGACCCTAAAGAAATTAATCAAGCATTTGCAAATTTTTATAGTAATCTTTATAAATAAGAGTGTTATTGTAATGGGAATGACAGAGGATTTTTTTCAAAACTTAAATTTACTTTCTCTAACAAAGACCGATGTTGATTTTATGGAAAGACCAATTCAAACAAATGAAATTAACACCGCAATTAAATCCCTGTCAAATGGGAAAACACCAGGAAATGACAGCTACACAATAGAATTTTATAAATGTTTTCAGGAGATTCTTGCTCCATACCTGGCATTATTATTTAATGACATAATAGACAAATACTTGATACCACCAACCATGCGGCAGGCCTCCATATCACTAATCCCTAAAATAGGAAAAGATCACCAGCAAATGAACAACTTTAAACCTTTGAGCATTCTAAATAATGAATATAAATTGTTTGCTAAATTATTGGCAAAGCGAATGGAAAAAGTCATTCCTATTGTTGGATGACTGACTTTTTATAGAAAGGCAAAAAGCATGAATGGCTTGTGCTGAGGTCTAACTCTACGTAGAGAGGAGCCGTGGGCTCGGGTCTGTTGGTGCCTCCTGGGCGCCCTCTGGGAGTGTTCGGGCATGTCCGCGGGAGAGGCCGGGGAAGACCAGGACGCCTGGAGGACTATGTCCTCGGCTGGCTGGGACGCCTCGGGTCCCGGAGGAGCTGAGGACATGTCAGGGTGAGGAGTTGGAGTCCCTGCTTAGCTGATCCCCGTGACTGGCCCGAAGCGACGAAAATGGATGGTTGGATGGCTTAAAAACGACTCACCCCTGCAGGTGGAGTGGGATTGCAGATATTCATTTATATTATATAGCATATAATTCTAGATATCCCCTAAATTGGACCTAATGCAATACACGAGAAACTGGAAGTTGGAAATGGCTTGAGGAAAAAATAGTACAAGAGCACAATCCAGATCTGTCATTAGCAACCATTTGGTACAGTCCTAAGACCATCTTGAATATAAATAATCCATTGCTTAAATTTTCTGGTGATATTATCAAATTATTGCTAAAATATTTAGACTTTACTGGGAAATCCTTACCTTCTTGTCCCCTTTGGTCCGATCCCCTGTTTATATCAGGTAAAAGAACTCTAAATAACAAAACCTGGCAACTAAGTAATATTAATAATTTATCACAGGTGATTAAAAATTTAAGTAATTTTATATCATTCAATGAATTAAAAACTAGGAGTGGTTTGAAAGAATCTGAATTCTTAACTTACATGCAAATCAATTGTCTTAAAATCTTCATTATCACAGGATAAACGCACGGAAGACAAGGAGTTGGAGGAAAATTTTAAACATGCTGTTGCACGGAAAGGTACAGTCTGAAGAATTTATAAACTTTTACGTCAACTAAAGGATGTAATATTAACAAAAAAAAATGATGGGTATGTGATCTGGAAATTCCTATAACTGCCTCACAATGGGAAACAGCGCACCCATAATTTAGAATGTGTATGATATAAATTTCTGCAGCTAAAATCATTACATCAAGCTTATATAACACCACATATACTAAACAAAATGGATCATGAATTATCTAAACTCTGTTGGCACACTCAGAGAGCACACTCATACACATGCTGTGGCATTGCCCTGAAGTGAAACAATATTGGAGCATTGTAATAGACAGGCTGTCTTGTATGTTTGATGTGCAGATCTCTCCATGCCCATTGCTGCGCCTATTTGGAATAAGAATTTGAGACTTTTCATCCCAAAAATTTGATCACATATTATCACTGTTTTTTTGTTTTGTTTTGTTTTTATCAGCTAAGCATATTATTATGATGAATTGGAAAGAAAGTAAATATAAGTGCTTTGACATAGACATTGGGACGAAGACTTTTTGGATTTAATTTCTATGGAGAAGCTGCTCAGCTGTTGGACACAAAAAACAAACACACTGTTGGCCTATGGACTGTGGCAAAACCCCATTTGGACAAAGCACAGTGAAATAAGAAATCATACTGTTGGACAATGTCAAAATATATATGATTTT